CCCCCCCCCGCCACAGATCGCTACGCTAACCTCTGACCTTTGAACTCTAGTTACCTTCCTCCACACTCAGCTCAGTTTGCCCCCTTGTCGGACAGCCCCGACCTCCTGAATTCCCCCCACACCCTGGCTCCGCCCCGTCCTGGGGTTGGTCCACTAGTGTCAGGAATAAACCCGGCCCACCCCCGGTGGGCTGTCGGCCGGAGACTAGGCGCGTGATGAGTGCGAAAGCTCGTAGCACACTTTCCAATCCGAGATCCTCTAAGGCCCGCACAGCACCAAATCCGCCACCCTCTCAAAATCAGTCTCCACATTTAGGTTCTTCCCCTGCAGACGCCCCGAATCTGTCAAGATGCGAGGGCTAGGCGGCAAGCTCTTTGAAAAAAAAGACTTCATTTCCCAAAATGCCCCGCACGCGCGCGGTCGCCGGGTGGCGTAGGAAGTGCGGGCCCCTCGGCAGGCTGGGGCCGGCTTGCGGTAGCGCTGTGCATGCTGGGAAGCGCTTCCAGGGAAGTAAGGAGGCCAACCGGAAAAGAACCCGAAGGAAAGGAGACGCCCCAATCTTGCTACGGTGGCCTGAAAGGAGAGGCGAAGCAATCCAGGAGAATTGCTCGTTTCTGGGCCTCCGTCGTGATGTCTTTCAAGAGGGAAGGTGATGATTGGAGTCAACTCAATGTGCTGAAAGTAAGCGCTAGAGGAGAGCGCCGGGAGCAGCTTCACTGCCCTGGGAAAGAGCTGTTTTTCTGCTCTGGCAACAAGTCGGGGTGGGGGGGCGCGGCGCGAGGGAGCGACTAGAGCTGGGTAGTGACCCCTTTTTCTCCCTGTGATCTCTGTTCTCATGGTCCTTACTCCCTTTCAATCCTCGTCCTTGTCGTTTCCCGTCCGATCCTTTCTCCTAACTCTCTGATCCCCCTGTAGAAACGAAGAGTTGGAGATCTGCTGGCCAGTTACATCCCAGAGGATGAGGCGCTGATGCTACGGGATGGACGGTGAGGACGAGGAGTGATCAAGCCTGAGGGTTCTGCAGTTAGAGGCTCAATAAAATTTTATCAGGGGGGAGAGCTGGAGTATCTAGGATTAATTGCTAGATCAAGGTGGGACTTACAACCGAGACCCCTCTCCCCCCCGGGAGCAAATATCTTCTCTCCTCCTGTCCAGCTTTGCTTGTGCCATCTGTCCCCACCGACCTGTCCTGGACACCCTGGCCATGCTGACTGCCCACCGTGCAGGCAAGAAACATCTGTCCAGTAAGTTTGAGGGAAGACAGGGGTTAGAGAAGAAATCCTCCAGATCTCTGCAGGTCACTGTTGCTTCTCTGTTTTTAATTCTTTCCCCTGTCTCCTCAGGCCTGCAGCTTTTCTATGGCAAGAAGCAGCCAGGGAAGGGAACAGAGCAGAATCCAAGACAGCAGAATGAATTGAGGAGGTCAGAGACCAAAGCTGAGGTAATCAGGGTGGGGAGAGTGTGTTCCCAGTGGGTCTGCTTGAAGGGTTTTGACTTTCTGGCTCTGAAGACTCTGACTCTGTCTCCCCTCTCTATACCAGGCTCCTCTGTTAACTCAGACCCGACTTACCACCCAAAGTGCTCTGCACAGAGCTCCTCACTATAACAGCTGCTGCCGCCGGAAGTACAGGTCTGTGGGGTAGGAAACCCAGAGGTTGGAAAGGGCAGAGGAGATAGATGGCTCAAAAATGATTGTATTCCAAATTGTATTCTCAGGAATACTAGTAGTCCAGAGATGTTAACTGGTATTTCAGGAAAAAGAGAATTTTTTTTAGGTTTGGAAAAATGGCACTTTGTAATCCTAATTTGGATAGTAATACTAGTATATATTAAGGGCTCTACAAAGTCTTAAAATTAAAAAACTTCAAAAAATTTAACCTAGCCTTTAAAGAACTCAATTTGATTCCAAAAAACATTTTTTTATTGTTTATTCATTTGTGAGAGAGAGACAGAGTGTTAGCAGGGGAGGGGCAGAGAGAGAGGGAGACACAGAATCCAAAGCAGTCTCCAGGCTCTGAGCTGTCAGCACAGAGCCTGACACAGGGCTCGAACTCACGAACCACAAGATCATGACCTGAGCTGAAGTCGGAGGCTTAACTGACTGAGCTACCCAAGTGTCCCCCAAAATTCTTTTTCATGCAGAACACTTACTAAAACATCTTAAGGAACACAACATATGTATATGTATATGTATATGTATATGTATATGTATATGTATATGTATATATACCATATGGTATATATATACACATATATATATATGATACACAAATTTATATTTAAGATTTTTATTTTTAAGTGATCTGTACACCCAATGTGGGGCTTGAACCCACAACCCTGAGATCAAGAGTTGCATGCTGTACGGGCTGAGCCAGCCAGGTGTCCCTTGAGGGAAACAATTTAGGAAGCACTGCTGTAAGGGGTTGGGATTCATTAGAGAATTGGCCCTTATCCTTTACCACTTTTATAGACGTTGATTCTTCTCTACCCAGACCAGAAACCCCTCGTCCCTCTGTCTCCCATTTCCCTTTGCCACCCCCAGAGGTTGAACCCAAGAGTGGGAAGATCAGTAGGGAACCCGTGCCTGGGGCTGGCCCACAGGCCAAGGAGTCAGCAACTGTCTCATCCTCTGCACCCATGAGCCCCACGAGAAGACGTGCCCTGGATCATTACCTCACCCTTCGAAGGTGAGGATACAGAATCACCTTCCTTAAGTTTTCTCTTTTCTCTCTGACTCTCCTTTTTTCAATCCTTCTCAATTGTTGTTGTTGTTTTTTTCCTTATTCCCTACTAACTTCTTAAATCTCTTTTCCTGACCTATTCTCTTTGTTATTTCCAGCTCTGGATGGATCCCAGATGGACAAGGTCGATGGGTAAAAGATGAGAATGTTGAGTTTGACTCTGATGAAGAGGAACCCCCTGATCTCCCTTTGGACTGACACATTCCATTCCCCCACTCAGTTCAGAAGTAAATTTCAGTGGGCTCTGGAAGCCGAATTTTCCTCGAGTCTCCTTCCTTGTTCCATTTCAGGATTTCAAACCTGCATTCCCAGCCTGGCCAATTCTTCCCTGCAATGTACAAGACTCCCCATACTTCTAACCCCTCCCCCACCTTCTACCAATGTCATGCCAAGCGTCAGCTGCACGTAGCCCAATGCCCTATTAATAAGTCTGTCAGAAGGAGGTCTGTGCCCTTCATGTTGTCTGCTTTCTTCCCCACCGCCACTCAAAGTCCTTTCCTCCTTCAAATCACACGAGGGTTGTGGGTAGACGCCGGGGGACCTGGCCACATCTGGAAAGAGGGTTGGGGTAGGTACTCTGTGAGAGCAGAAAGGACTAAATGAAAAGACAGGGGTGTGGGGAGCACCAAGGGAGGGAGCTCCCCCACCTCCTCCTAGTAACTTGAACCTCTCTGTCTGCTGATCCCCAGAGTATAAATAATCCCCTGATGAACTGGCAGTAACCCTTGGGTGTTAGTGCCAAGATTCCCACCCCAGAGCCCAAGGAAGGAGGCAGGCAGAGTGGACAGAAGGGCCTTTATTTACAGGAAGGGGGAGAGATGAGGATTTAAGCATTCAGGGCTTCCAGCTCTGGTTGGTAAAGGGAAAGGAAGTGTTATCTCTTTTTTTGCTGGCGACCTGTAACAGGAAACAGTAAACACAAGTCTTTCTTCCATCTCTTACTTCCTGCAGAGGTGCTCTTCTTTCCAGGTCCTTGAGGCCAGACTCATAAAGAGGTAGTGTCTTTGGCCAGCAAGCACGCCCACCCCACATTAACAAAACGAAATAAGACATGACATGGCAAGTAAAAGTACCATGCTCCCAAACGGGTATGTCTAGCTCCTTTCCTGCCTTTCTACGGGTATACGTTTGGGGGCAGGGAGACTCTTCTATACTTTTTAGTCACTTAGGGGATTTAAACTTCACGTGTGAATATTGCTTTGGCTGTACCCCAGGCTATTAGTCCCTAAGTCAGGCTTCAGAAGGATCTACTTGCCCCCATACAGCATGTCTGCATTTACTCACGTAGTTCATTGTTCCGGGTCATGGCCTGGGCTGCCCGAGCACGTGGCCCCTGCTGTGTGAAGTGGTAGCCAAAGCGGACAATGGAGGGACACTGCTCGAGCACGGTGGCCATCTCCATCTCCACTGCATCGCCAGGCCACTGGCGCTGGGGGACGGAGAGGTGAACCCTGTCAGCCCCCTTCTCTGTGTTGTTCACCGCGCCATACCACCAACCCTTTGGGAGGTTGAAAAAGCTTGTTTCATCAGAAGGGGTGATAAGAGGTGCTGACCTTGGCTCCCCTCATAGAGACAACGAAGAGGTTTCAGACAAGATTAGGTGAGATCCTGACCCAGTGGCAGCCTCAGGGAGGAGACTCGGTGAATATTAGTTGAATGATCAGGGGACCAGGGGAGGGAAAGCTCACCTGGTTGTCTACACGGAGCTCAGTGAGTGTGGCATTTTCCCGAACTGCCTTCAGCACAGCCATGAGCCCTGTGCTGCTAATGAAGTTGGATTCAATGTTCAGGCTCTGGAGGCTACGATTCTCACGCAACATGTCAGCCACCGCCTGGGTAGTAGGGACTTGGGTTAGGATTAGGGGACAGTTTCACAGATGACTGAGGAGAGAAAGAACAGGAGCAAGAGGGAAACACAGCTCTTTGAGAAGAGTCCTTGAGGAGCTGTAGGTGGGGTGAGAGGGAGATGGAAGGGAGCACAGGTCGTAGGGGAAGCAGGGAGGTTAAGTGTGTGGTGGAGTTGGCGGGGTGGTAGAGCAGGCTGTGGCTCTCTGAGAAGGTGATCTGAGGATTTCCGAGCTAAGAGCCATGGGACTGAGGGTAGGAGTCTTCATCAGGCCATCCTAAGATTACGTGATGGGAATAGCATCCCCAGCACAACCCCAACCCCTTATGACAGCCCTGGCAGGGGTGCAAGTCAAGGGGTGCATGTATGGGGAGGGGGCTGGGATTTCAAGTTGCCTTACATTGGCGATGGGGTCACCACTCCTTGTGGCCACCAGACTGAGGCTCCGGACATAGGTATTTGTCTTCATGGCCTCACACAACTCAGTTAGCATGGGTATCGGGATGTCCTGTCAGAGGAGAAGAGATGGTGGGCTAAGGGACCCACATATCTGGGACTCACATAGTTAATCCCATTTATTATTTGGAACATAGGGGTCAGATACCTGTATGTTATTGAGGTTCACCTCCTCCAGCTCCTTGTCATTGTTTCGAACGCTCTTTAGTATCTCCTCGATGTTTGTGGGATTTGGGGGCTCATCCGGCACCGGCTTGTACTTGTCAGGCTGCACCACACCTGGCGGGCAAGGGCCAGAAGAAAACCACGACATGTCCCCCACAACCTCCTCCCCATTGGTTCTCCCATTACTTCTGTACCATGTCCTCTCCATGATCCCCGTTTCACCCTTTGCTACCTTTAATCAGACCTTGGGACTGCCTTCCCAAAGCCCTGGATGCCATGCTTCCAAACACTCACTGCTAATGCCTTCGGTGTTGCAGATTTCTCCACTGCAGATGGCGTCATAGTATTGCTTGTTGCTCATCAGTGTGTACATGTCCAGAATTGCTGGAGAGAGTACGTAGAGGGGGAACAGGGAATGAGAAGAAGGAGTTTGTTCCAAATCCCCTCCCTTCTCATTCTGAATCTGTTGCAGTTTTTTAAAGCCTGACTTCTCCCCCCTCTTCCAAAGAGGTTCCCACTCTCCCTAGGTCCCAGGGTTTCCTTCTATGAACTGCTTAAGGTGGTAGTTTTTAAAACTCTGAGGGGGGGAGGGGGAGCGCCTGGGTGGCTCCATCGGTTAAGTGTCCAACTCTTGATTTCAGCTCAGGTCATGATTTCACGGTTCATGAGATTGAGCCCCGCATCAGGCTCTGCGCTGACAGCACAGAGCCTGTTTGGGATTCTCTCTCTCCTTCTTTCTCTGTCCCTCCCCACCTCAAAATAAATAAATAAACTTAAAAAAAGCCAACAAACAAGTTTGAGACAGGGCTAAGGGAAGGTCCCTAAGGAGCCCCTAGAGGGTAAGGGAGAGAAAAACAACAGTGTTTCACATTCAAAAAAAAGAGAAAAGAGTGAGGGAGTCTGTTAGACTTCCTCCTATTTCCAGCCAGAATAGTTCTACTTTTATATGCTTTATAATCCCTATAAACTTGTCTCTGAGATGTGAATGTATTAGATTAAAAAATGAATGAGTGAATACATAAGCAAAAACTTAAAACCATGACCTGAGGCTTTCTCTAACATTCATGTCCTGTTCAGGGCCTTCCTCACTAGTCCCATGGCCTGGCTAGAACCGCCCTGCCCTGGATCTCCCCACCCTCCCTAACCTTCCACTGCCGCCCACCTGCAATATCACACATTTCGGCGTCTGTGGCATGGGCCAATGCCTCTTCCAGTTCAGGCTCCAGAGTGATCTGCTCCTGTGCAGGAATTTCCCTCTTGGGCTGAATGTAGGGTTTCCCTGATGGGGAGATGAAGGGTGGCTCAGGTGGAGGTCATTCCTCCTACGATTCTTGTCTCTAGCTTCCTTCCTTTCCTTCTCCAGGAGGTGGAGTCTTGGGTCACTAGGGGCCACCGTAAGGCCCAAGTCCTCTACCAGCTCAGGACTCCTGGGTCCCCTAATCTCTCCTAAAAGCTGGAGAGTGAAAGAGGCATGTGTGTTTCAGGGTGGCCAGGTCCCTGGGCAGCTAGAAGCTGGAAGGTCAGAGGGAAGCTGGAGGGGGTGCACTTGAGAGATGACCATTGGGTTTTGGTAGGCATGGTTGTTAGTGTCTCCATACCCTTCTTCTCGCCTGTGAAGGGCACCAAGTCATCACGTTCTTTGACCTCTAGTGCCTGCTGTTCCAGATACTGCAAAAGGGCATCCCGGTCCAGTGGCCCCGTTGGGCTCTTCTTTGTCTGGTCACGTTGTCTTAGTCCAGCGGGCAGGAGCATGTTCTTCGGGATGAGTTTTGGGGAGGAAGTCAGACCTCTGATCTGGGGTACCTCCAGGGCTCCCTAAACATCTGCACACACCTTTTCCCTGGCCCTCTTGGGATTCCAAGCCCTGTAGGCAGCCCTGATCTCAGCCACCCGGGGCCCACCACCCCTTCCCCAATGCTCGGAGGCTGCCCGTTTCCTCGTTGGTTCCTTGTGCCAGAGCCCCTACCTCGGGGTCCATCTCCTGTAGCTCGCAGTCCAGCTGCTCCAGCTCCTCGGGGCTCAAGGTCTTTAGGATCTCATCTTCATCTATGTCTCTGTATTTCTCCAGTTCCTTCTGATACGATGACATGATGGCCCCACCCCCTCCCCACTCTGGTGCTCACGGAGCCTGGGGGGAATGGGGAAAGTGATTGGAGAATGGAAAGATACACATGGACACAGCAGGACACAGATGAGCCAGGGGGCAGAACGATGAACTGGATGCCTTGGAGGCTAGAAATCTAGCTGGGCAGGGGAAGGTGGGGACTTATGTTGTTTAGTTAGAACCAGAGCTTCCTTCTTCCTGCTTCCTCAGCTTCAGCCACCCTGGATGGGGATCCCAGGCATCCAAGCGTGATTTGTCTGCCCATTGTGTGACAGAGAAATCCTGGCAACACCCTCCCTTATAACCTCGTCCATCCATGCCTCTTGCCCAAGCACAGCTGCCAAGGGCCCTGCCAACACAGCTGGCCCCAGGCCCAGTTCCTATTGAAAGGAAGGGGGGCATACAAAGAGTTTCAGGGAAATTCCTCTTCTCTTCCCCATGATCCAGTCTTTTTTCCTAAACTCGAAGAACGCAAGGGGGAAGAGAGACAGTTCTCTTACCCTACCCTCATTTCCTCTTTTATTGTGGGGGAATCAAGATTTCACTTTCTATGTTTGCTAAAACTCTAAATCCTAAGGGAAAGCAAGGGCTCAGAGGAGCTGGGGGGAGTGCCAGGTTGGGGGAAGGGTGGTATGGTCTCAGGAGAAGGGGCTGAGTCCCCATAATTTGTCCCTGACTTTGGACGGGAAGGTGACACCGGACCAATGGGTGGGAAATACCTTCTAAATGCGATAAAGTTTCTCTAAAAACAGTGGGAAGATTAAACTTGCACAATACAGAAAATACACACAAGCTACACATACACACCATACTGAATATGAAAGATCCAGAAAGTGTGTGAGATACTTGCATGGACAATGTACACTATGGTTAAGGGATAGGACAGACAGTGGCAGAAACATACGCTGAGGGACGGAGACACTCCACATCATTCCCGAAAGGAGCCGCTCCTCTCCTCCCACCTCCCACCAGGCTCTGGTCCATAAGCCCCCTGCCTTCCCACCTACCAGTCCTGGTGGCCACCTCCCTTCTCACCTCCCCTTCTGTCGGTTGGTCTGTCAGTGCTACTGGAGCACTGTCCCTGCGGCAGGAAGAGCCCAGTGCCGGGGAGAGGGTGGGGGAACAGTGAGCTCAGCATTTTATTATTTTAGCTCTGGCCAGGTGGGGGGTGGTGGGAGATCACATATACACAGCCCCCATACCCTGCCCAGCCCTGAGAGCCTCTAGTGGCCACTCACAGCCATGGCACTTCCTTCCCTTCCTGCATGTAAGCCAGTCCTAGAAACTAGGGGAATCATGTCATTCCTACTTATTTGGTGTCTTGCTATATTCAAAGCAGTGAATATAAGGTGATATAAAGGGGAGTACAGGAATTTTGTTTGGAGGTCTAATTTAAAGGTGTTTATAATTCAGCTGGAGGAGTGAATGCTTACAATTTAAAAAGGGCAGCTCATGGGGCGCCTGGGTGGCGCAGTCGGTTAAGCGTCCGACTTCAGCCAGGTCACGATCTCGCGGTCCGTGAGTTCGAGCCCCGCGTCGGGCTCTGGGCTGATGGCTCGGAGCCTGGAGCCTGTTTCCGATGCTGTGTCTCCCTCTCTCTCTGCCCCTCCCCCGTTCATTCTCTGTTTCTCTCTGTCCCAAAAATAAATAAAAAACGTTGAAAAAAAAATTAAAAAAAAAAAAAAAAAAAGGGCAGCTCATAATAAATGCTATTAAACAAAATAAAGACCCATATATACTCAGACATTCACAAAGACTTCTTGCTCCCAACTCAATGAGACACCAGACAAAGGGGATCTTTCTCTTTTATTAGATTAAAAAACACAAATAAAACCGATAGGAACTGGGGGGAAAGAAAGATGGAAAAGGGCCAGGCAAAGGTCAGAGATGACCAAGAGGAGAAGCAGGGAGAGGAGGGGGAACATTAAGAGCCCCAAGTCAGGGCAGGAAAGAGGTTTCTAAGGACTACTCCTCTCCTTATTTGATGACAATTTTCTGGCGCAAGGCTCGAGGCCCAGAGCCAGGGAGGGGCTCAGGAGGTGGCGGGCCAGGGCCCAGGGCTGAGGCCGTGGGCGGCAGTCCATGGGCAGTGATGTACTTCTTATAGGCCTCACGGATGATCTTGAAGGCTCGAGCAGTGGCGTAGGGGATGTCTGTGACAGGGTCCCGGTACAGAGCTGGGCGATGGGTCACAGGGCAGACCTCCCGAACAGGGACCTTTGGGGGCCGCCCTTGGGGAAACCATTCCTCGAATGTCGCATCATCACTGAAAGTGATGAAGGTACGGGAGCAGCGAGCAGGAGGGACGATGGATCCAGTGCCGGCACGGGGAGTCAGCGCAGAAGCTGTGGGAGCAGGATCCAGTCTGAGGGGAGAGACAGAGAAACACAAAAAGTCTGAGGAGAGAAAACAACAGACAAAGAGATAAGACAGGTGAGGAAAGAGAGGAAGGAGGCAGAATGACGGCAACAATCGGAGAGAATCTATTAAGTGACAGATGGGGAGAAGCAAGCTGTGCTGGGTGGGAAAACTGCTGAGAGAGGGGAGAAAGACTAAAATCAGAAAGAAACACAGCTGAGGGAAGAGGACCCTGAAGGACATCTGTGTGTTGGAGAGCTGTGTGAGGAGAACTGAGGATGGCAGGGAGAAGGCTCTCTTCCCTTCTCCCCTGTGACGCACTCACCCTTCCACATCCACATTCTCTTCTTTAGGGCCTGGCTCCCCAACGAGCGGCACCGTCACTGAATGATAGGTGATTATGGGCCCAGGGCACTTCCGCTTCTTGTGCACCTGCTTCTTTTTGTCAGCCTCAAGCCGCTCATAGGTCTCTTCAGGGTCAAAGGGAGGAATGAGGGGGCGGTGAGTTCCCCCATGCCCACACTCGTGTCTGTCCTGTCTGGTCCCTGCCTGCCCAAGCCACTCACACCAATTCTCTGAGGCCCCCCTAGCACCTCCTAGTTCTGACATTCTTTGCTTGACCACCCCCTAACCCCCAACATCCTCTCCGCCCACCTCTCCCGTCCACTCAGCTCCTCACGCACTCAGACAGCAGGACTCTGGAGCTGGAAGGAACCCTTGGATGAGGAGCCTGTTTGCCCAAGCTGCCCTGTCCGCTCACTCCCAGCCACGGCAGCGCGCTGCGTCTTCAGGCATCTCTGGTCATTACAGAGTTCTCTCCTATTTCCAGCTGAAATATGTTGCCTGATGACACTGTTTCACCTTTTCAAGCTGTAAAGGACACAGGTCCAACCTGTCTTCCCCATGACAGTCCTTTACATAGTTGAAATTAGTATCCAGGTCTCTCCCTCCAGGCCGATCACAACACCCATTCCTTGAACCATTTCTCATAAAACATGGTTTTGAGACACACTCTCTTTTTGCTAGCCCCTGTGCCTAGGACACTTCCATTACTGTACTTTTCACAGTCTATGGCAGAGGCCGGATGCTGGCAGCTCCTCTAAGTGTTTTGTTTGATCTGTATTGTATTTTAAAGAAAATTTGAAATAGTTACTGATATTTGAAAATGAGGAAATTACATTTAAATACAGAGATTTCTGGTCCTTCTTTTTTTTTTTTTTTTTTTTTTTTTTTTTTTTTTGAGAGAGTAAGCACATGTGCAAACGGGGAGAAAGGGCAGAGGGAAGGGGAGAGAATCTTAAGCAGGCTCCATGCTCAGCACAGAGCCAGACACACGGCTTGATCCACAACCCTGGGATCATGACCTGAGCTGAAATCAAGAGTCGGACAATCAACCGATTGAGCGGCCCAGGTGCCCCTCTGATCCTTCTTAAAAAAATAACAAGGAGGGGCGCCTGGGTGGCTTAGTAGGTTAAGCGTCCAACTTCAGCTCAGGTCACGATCTCACAGTTTGTGAGTTCGAGCCCTGCATCGGGCTTTGAGCTGATAGCTTAGAGCCTGGAGCCTGTTCGGATTCTGTGTCTCCCTCTCTCTGCCCCTCCCCCGCTCACATTCTGTCTCTCTCTCTCTCTCAAAAATAAACATAAAAAAAAATTAACAAGGAAATCAGGCAACCTGGCATCTGCGTTGTCACATGGCAACAATGAGCTGGGCAGAAGAACCAATCCTTCTTCTGAGCGCTCCTCTTATTCGCCACAGTCCCGTCTGGACAGTGACACTGCTCTATGGTAGTTCATCGCTGGTACACAGGTCTCCTCCTGAAGGTCAGTGACTGTGACTCATGTTACCTACGTATTATCAGGGCCACGCGGTGTGCCACCCATTACAGGCACTCAGCAAGTATTTGTTAATGTTCAGTAGGTCAAAATATTCCTGATCCCTTTCCTCTGAATGAACTCCAAATTTCTGTTTAAGTGCGCATCCAATCTTCTAGATAAAGTCTGACCAGAAAAGTGTGCTCTGGAAACCCCACCAATGATTTAGCCTCTCTTGTACTTGGAATTCTGGTTGGTAATGTTGCTTTCTTTCCCTTCTGCCAACCTTCCAACACTTCCCCTTTCAAACACTTCCCTGTACCTTCTGGAACTCCTGCTCTATAACCAGCCAACTCATCTATGTCCTCAAGTTTCTCACTGTGAATTCCTTCCACAACTTGTCTTCCTGGAAGCCTGTCATCCCAAGGCCACTGCTCTCCCTGCAGCCCTCTGGTGGAGGTCTCTCGTCCTGCCACCTCCCATGCAGGGTGTGCCTGGGTCCTGTTGAGCCCACACTGCAACTTTAGACCACCGCTTTTCTCCCCACGCGCAAACCCACTTCTCTCTGGAGACTGATGCCACCAGGCTAGATCATGTTTCTTTCCTGTCATGCTCACTCCCTTACTCTCTGAAGACTTTAGCAATGCCTTCCACTGTTCCTCTCCACTCAACTCCTATCATCCTTCATCACCCTGGTGACCTCAAAGTGCATGCACATGGGTAGCCCCTTCAACATCCCATCCCCACAGTTTACGGATCTCATCTTCCTGTCCGTGACACATTTGTTGCTCCATTCCACTATGGCTACAGCCG